CAGATGAGGTAGAAGAGTGTGATTAATATTAATATTTCCAAGATAAATTCCTGGATTCAGGATTTGAACCCCTGATGCCTATTTCTAGATACTTGCTTTTTTTTTTTATCCTCACTGGAGGACATTTTTTTCATTTTTGTTCAGATAGAGTGGGAGGGAGAGAGAGGAAGAGATAGAGAAACATTGACGTTAAAGGGACACATTGAGTGGCTGCTTTCCACACAACCCCAACCAGGGCCAGAGACGAATCACAACTGAGGTACATGCTCTTGACTGGAATCGAACGCGCGACTCATTGGTCTGTGGGCCGACACTCTAACCACTGAGCAAAACAATCCAGGTCTGGATACTTGCTTTTAATTGCCCCTCCCACCAACTCCACTTCCCACCCCCATAGGTGTACTTAAATTTGAGCCTGAAGCAGGTGTGTGTACTGGAGAAAACTGCTATGAGACAATGTGTGTTCTTTAAATATACAGATTGACAGCTGTCAGAGGGGAGAGGGTTGGGGGCTGGGTAAGAAGGGTGAAGGGATTAAGCAAAGAAAAAAAAGGAAGACTTGTGGACACAGACAACAGGGTGGTGATTGCCAGAGGGAAGGAGTGGGGTGAGGGGAGGTAAAAGAGGGTAAAGGGGGATAGATAATAGTGATGGGAGGAGACTTGATTTGGGGTGGTAAACACACAATACAATATACAGAGGCACATGATGTATTGTAGAATTGTATACCTGAAACCTATATAATTTCATTAACCAAAGTCACCCCAATAAATTAAATTAAAAGTAATAAATAGCCCTGGCTGGTTTGGCTCAACAGTTGGAGCGCCGGCCCATGGACCAGAGAGTCCTGGGTTTGGTTCCTACTAAGAGCAGTTTGGTTCCGGCCCCGGTTGGGGTCGTTGTGGGTAGCAACCACTCGATGTGGCTCTCTCACATCGATGTTTCTCTCTCTCTTCCCTCCTCTTTCCCTCCTGCTCTATCTGAAGATGAATGCAAAAATGTCCTCAGGTGAGGATAAAAAAAAAACACAGTAATAAATACATACATATGAGCCCCGTAGGCCTGAGCTGTTTAGAATAAAAGACTTTGGGATCATTGGTTCTTTTCTATCTCCCCCCCACCGTCCACTTCTGAACCAGTCTCCCTCCTCTCTGGCTTTTGTCATGATGTCTGGACTGTCTCAGCCCTGCACTGCTGTTAGCCACCCCCCAGCACTGTTACTCTGCCCCCTGGTGGGCAGGTGCTTAGCACAGCCTGCTCCAGTGACATGCTGCTTCCATTCCTTCTAGGTAGACACCCAAATGCTGACCAGCCAGGAAGTCCTGTGCAGCCCTGCAGACCGGTGTGTGTACACAAGATTGTCTCAGTCAGATCTCAGCCCCTGAGCCCCTGAGTGCTTTGGGAGAAAAGAAGAATCAACTGAGCCAAATAACTAGAGAAATGACCAGCTGTGTATTCTCGAAGACTGTTAGAAACAAACGCTGCTGCTCAGAAAAAGAAAAAAAAAAAAAAAAAAAAAAACAGGACAAGAAAATGGACTAGGACAGAGAAAATTATTTGAGAATAGTGATTTGACTGGGATGGGACATATTTGCGTATATCTCTCAAGAGGCACTGCCCAGTATTTCCTGTTACATAATCTCATGATATTTATAATCAGGAGATCCACTTAATTTCTGATGGCACACATGGAATATTGTCACTACAAAACTAGATGATACAGTTCACTATGAGATGGTAGGACATGAGTACACAGGTGGGGATTCATAAGCAAGTGCCCTGTGCCAGCAGCTCAGCCTTGGCCACATCAGGCAACCTCTGTTCATTCCTGTTGGAGGAAATAAGATGATCAAACACCGTCTACAACTTCACCGTCCAGTACAGCAGCCATGAGCCACGTGTGGCTATTTAAATTAATTCTGAAATTTAAAAAATACAAATTCAGTTCCTAAGTCACTCTAGCTACATTTCAGGTGCTCAAGAGCCACATGGAGTTAGTACCCACATATACAATCATCACAGAACTTCTATAGGACAGTGATGGTTTATTAAAAATGGAGCAGATATAATTTAAACAGTGCTGGGAACATATTACTATCACAAATAACAGGCTTATATTCAGGATTCTTAGGTTTGTGAATCTGTGAAAAGCCTGGTATATAAGCCTAGTACCTGTGCTCCAAGTCTTTTTCCTTTGAACTCTTAGGGGCTGTCACAGGAATATGCATTATCAAATACATTTAGGAGAGGCAAGAGAATACAAATGAGTCAGACGTTGGAAGAACTGGCACCTGCAATACAAACTCAATGACTATTTAAAGGAGGAAAATTCCTTTTTTAAAAAATATCCTCACCGGAGCATATTTTTCCATTTATTTTCAGACAGAGTGGGAGGGAGAGATAGAGAGAGAAACATCAATGTGAGAGGCACACATCGACTTAATGTCTCCCACACAACCCCGACCAGGGCTGGGGACCGAACCACAACTAAGGTATGTGCCCTTGGCCAGAATCGAACCCGCGACTCTTTGGTCAGTGGGCCGAGGCTCAATCTGCTGAGCCAAACCAGCTAGGGCAGAAAATTCCTGATTTCATGGTGGAAAAGCACTTCATTAGCAAAAACAGTGTCAAGTTTTACAATTTTAATTAGCTTAATTCCTAAGATGGTTAACTTTTAATGTTGTAGATGCTGTGAATTTTATTTTATTTTATTTTATTTTATTTATTTATTTTTTTTATCCTCACCCGAGGATATTTTTCCATTTTTTGTACAGATAGAGTGGGAGGGAGGGAGAGGAAGGAGAGAGAGAGAGAGAGAAACATCAACGTGAAGGGACACATCGAGTGGCTGCCACCCGCACAACCAACCAGGGCCGGGGACAAACTGCAACCGAAGTACATGCCCTTAGCGGGAACCGAACCCGGGTCTCTCTGGACCGCAGGCCGACGCTCTAACCACTGAGCCAAACTGGCCAGGGCAATGCTGTGAATTTTAAATGTTTTGTGTCATTGATTGTACATATACAATATTATAATATATGGAAATTCAACTGATCTTGTACATTGAACTCCAATCTGATGTCCTTGTTAAGTATGCTTATTAAATCTAATAGTTTTATTAGAAAGTTACTCTCAATTTATTGCTGTCTCCTATTAACAACTCCTTTCCAATTCTAATATCTTTTCTTTGCTTGCCTTTTTGTGTGGGCAAGAACTTGACATAATAAACACAGACATTTTTGTCTTTCTATTTTTTCAGACAAAAGGCTTTAAAAGCTTTCATTTAAAGAACCATTTTTAATTACAGATTCATTTATCTGACAGGTTGACATGTATGTTTCTTATTTCTGATCCTGTCATTTTTACTAATAAATGTGTTTTTAGAAATATGACCATTTCATATAAATTTTCTAACAACAGCCTAACCTTGTACCTGATACTCTTTCATGATTTTTAATGTGTTATTAATGTAGTGACACCTTTTTACATTTCTGATCTTGGTTATTTGTGCCTTTTTTCCTAATAAATTTCAACAGAAACTTAGCAGTTTCAGTAATCATTTCAAGGGATTTTGTTTGATTCACTTCCCTTACTTCACATTTGTTTTTTAATTAGTATCTTAACTTTATTATTTGCTTTAATCTGATTTATGTGCTATATTGACTTTCTCCCATTTAAAAATATAAATGTTGAATATAAAACCCCCTCTAAGAAATTTGCGTTAGCAAATAGCATCCAATAATATCTAAAATAATGATATATCATAGCAAGATTTATTCTTGGGGAAAAAATGATGAGTGAAATCTTTAAAAACCTATCAGTGCAAATAATCACATTAAGAGAATAAAGAGGAAACATACAATACTATCTAAAAAAAATCCAGAAACTACATGATAAAATTCAGGATATATTCATGATGAGTAACCAACATAAAATATTTTTACTAAATTAATAAAATGTATCTGCAAAATGACAAAGAGCTCACAGGTGGAAATTAAAAGGCACCACTTTGAGCTGACGGTAAAGAGTAAGTTGCGAAAGGCCGTCCTACCACCATGCAGCACAAACCTCAGTGAAAGAAATTAGGAACACAAAGGGCCACTGCGACTTAAACCAGCAAGAGAAAATAAAAGCCCGGGTCACACGGGGGACAGTGGCTCATTAAGCCAGCATCGGGCTGAACGAAGCCTGCAGCTTATGCACAGTGCGGAGAGAGGACAGTCAGAAACCCCAATAAAACGGAGACACCCAGGCAGCACTAGAGTGGGCTCGGATCAGAAACGGTCCTGCCTCGCTGGCCAAAAAGCATCCCCAGCATAAGTCCGCATGAATTCCCAGAAAACAAAGACCAGAACAAACCTTGTCAACAAAACAAAACGATTGAAGTTTCCATCGATGACAAGAAAAAAAGCAAAAAATAAAAGCCCCCATAGACATAATATGAACAGAAAAGTAATTGGTAACATGCAGGTGCGAGATGTTTCTGACACTACAAGGTGCACTCTTCCCCGCGGGAGGCGGGGAGGAGACAAGGGCTGTGGTTTGGATGATTGTTAAAACGGACACAGATGAACAAGCAATCCAATGCAATGTGTCTGCGTGAACAGCAGGAGATGAAATTAAAACCTCCAAGAATGGTGATTACATCCTCCGGATGAGCCCGCGTGCAGCGCGGCCGCGGCAGAGGCCGGGGAACAGCGACGGAGCCCGCCTGCCCTGAACAAAGGCGGCACGAGGTCCGCGTTCCCACGCTAGGACTTTTCAGAGCACGCGCGGACTGGGTAGAGGACTGCCGGTGCGCCCACAGGAAGTGTCCGCCTTGCCTGCCCGGCAGAGGAAGTCGGAACCTATAGTAACCGGAAGTAGACCTGTGCGGAAGGAAAAAAGATGCACACCTCCCAGTAAGGAGCGCCGAGTCGGCTCCTGGCCTCCGGGCTTCAAGCCCGAAACAAAGAGGCACCGGACGCGTTCTGGCACCGTTTCAGGGGGTAAAAGGTGCAATGGAAGAGCCTGCAGCTCCCTCTGAACCCCACGAAGCAGCCGGCGCCTCAACAGGTGCCCAGGCCGCAGGTGAGGGTGCCCCGGGGCCTAGCTACCGCACGCGCCCGGTCTTCCGGCGTTCTTCGGCTGGAGGCCCGCCCCCTTTCGGCACGTCACGTCTCAGGCTTGCCTACGCCTCCGGGGGCGTGGCCAGGCCTGGGCCCAGCTGGCTGCAGAGCCAGCGGCGCCCCGGCAGCTGGACAAAGCAAGTCATCTGCAGGTATTATCGGCATGGGATGTGCAAGGAGGGGGAAAACTGTCGCTACTCCCACGACCTCCCGGGCCCGCAGGAGGCCGGGGAGGGCCGCGGGTCGCCGCCTGGCGCCGCCGCGGAGCTAGGCCTCGGCGCGGCTGCGCACTACGAGCCGGAGCCCTTGCCAGAGGAAGGGGAGGAAGGGGCGTGCGCCCCTCCTGCTGCGTCTTCACGCTCCTTGCCTGTGATTGGCTGGGCTGCTGAAGGGGGCTTCTTTGAAGCTGAGACAGACTATGCAGGCCTTGAAGCTGCGGGGGGAGCAGGTGCAGAAGGCTGGGCGGATGCCACTGAGTTTGTTCCCGGGGAACCCTACTGGGGCCGCGGGGCCCTTCCTGCCCCCGAGGCTTTTCTGCAGAGCTCGGTGACTGAGAGGGAGCACATGGCTGTGGGCATGGGGAGGCAGCTTTGCCGCGATGCTGCCATGGGGCAATGCTTTCGCGGGGAGAGCTGTGCGTATCTTCACGGAGAGATATGCGACATGTGTGGGCGGCAGGTCTTGCACCCTGTGGATGCTGCCCAGAGGGCAGACCATATACAAGCCTGCATTGAAGCCCACGAGAAGGATATGGAGCTCTCGTTTGCTGTGCAGCGCAGTATGGAAAAAGTTTGTGGCATCTGTATGGAGGTTGTCTGTGAGAAAGCCAACCTCAGTGACCGCCGCTTTGGCATCCTCTCCAACTGCAACCACTCCTACTGTCTTAAGTGCATCCGCACGTGGAGGACTGCCAGAGAGTTTAGGAACAGGGTTATTAAATCCTGCCCTCAGTGCAGGGTCAGCTCCCGCGTTGTCATTCCCAGTGAGTACTGGGTGGAGGACAACGAAGAGAAGCAGAAACTTATTCAGCAGTACCAGGAGGCCATGAAAACCAAGACCTGCAGGTATTTTGCTCTAGTCGGGGATTGCTGCCCATTTGGAGAGAAGTGTTTTTACAAGCATGCAGACCCTGAGGGCCAGGGAGAGGATCCTGAGAGTCAGGGTTCTGGGGCATCCAGCAGTCAACATTTGGAGCCTGAGCAGGTGGGAGAGGGCAGCATGCCCTTTAAAAACAGTACAAAAGAGCTTGTCACGCTTTGGCTGGCCAGTTTGTGGTTGTGTGTTTTCTTTCACTGGGAGATAATGAGCTCCTTTTCTCAGAGAACCCGTGGGACATGTTTCATTGGGGGGCTGGGGAAAGATTTCAACTTGAATCTGTGGCATGTGGTGTAGTGTGCTGATGCTCTGTGCTGATGCTGTGTCATCCGCTGTTGCCTGTTTTCCGTTTATAGACACATCTACCATGTACAGCAGCTGTTGAAGCCATTTTGATGGATCATTCATCCGTTTTCTTGCCCATCCCCATTCTCTCCCCCTAGGAGTGTGGTGTTTCACAAAAGTAACAAAAAACCTTACTTAACGTTATTGTTTGGTGAAATGCATATTACTGTCAGTTTATGGTTTATTTTGTCATCTCTGTTTTCAACAGGATTGACTCAGTTCTAGTCTAGTGTTTACAGGATTTCCACATCGAGAGTAAATGTGACAAAGGAACTTTTTGCTGCTACAGCCCTTATGAAATGGACCCTCGGGGGGCCTTGTGCAGCTGCTCATCTCTGCTGTTTACATGTCTGTTTCTTTCTTGATTCCTTTCAAGTGCACTTTTTAACTGTGGTTACCTTGTGGTTTTGTGTTGTACTTGACCAGAACCAGGTGTATATGTTTACATGTTTTCATCCTGCTTAACTTGATGTGAAATTGTTCATATTTGGAAGTATATATTTCAGAATTATATATAAATATGTGTGTGTTTAAGTGAGTATAAAAGTTATCTATTTGAGAACATATATATATATATATATAAAGGATATATACCGTAATATAGTATGATGTTCATGTAATAAAATAAACACAGAACTGGAAGCTGAAGGTCAGAGGTTAACAGAATTCACTGTTGTGTGAGTGTGACGTGGGTGAATAATTCTTCTGTTCCTTTCACAGGCTTCAGTGATTAGCATCTAATGAAAAAGCCTCTTCTCAAGGATCTGGCCAAATGTGGCACAGGTCTTACAGGACTTACTAAATGGGACACTGGTTATTTCTGTGATGGCATTGATAGTTCACTGTGCTGTGATAAATAAAGGAATGTGTGTCGACAACACGATTCTGGACACAGTTCTTTGTATTCGGTATTTTGTGTTATTTCTAGAGGAATGTGTGTCGACAACCCGATTCTGGACACAGTTCTTTGTATTCGGTATTTTGTGTTATTTCTAGATGTTCCACACAAGGGGCTTTTGACAAAAGTTTTCAACATGTAACTGGAAAGATTATAAAAGAGAAAATAGAATAATAAAAAAGTTGAAGCCAGTCAAAATACAAGAATGGAAAGACAAGAATGGAAATCTAGAAAAATACAAACCCTAAATACAGTGGTAATAAGAAAGCTCAGCACACACACTGTGATTAGATTAAATGAAATGGTTTCCCAAAGTTTTACCATCTTGATTATAATTAAAATGAAACTATATGCTGTTTAAAATACACACCTAAAATGTAAGAATACAAAGATGTTAAAAGTGATAGGATGAAAAAGTTAATCCAGTGGAGGTGCTGTGACTTCTTGAAGACAAAGTGCACTTTAAGGATAAATCCACCACTAGAGATAAATAAGGTTAGCGAATAAGCATTAAGTTGTAATTTACCATGAAGATAAAATGATTCCAATTTTGTAGCCATTTAATAACATAGCATCAGCTATCCAAATAAATAATTGATAAGAATAGAAAAATGGGAACATCTGTAATACTTTCAACAATAAAGATAAAAAAGAATAGAAAAATTAAAAATTTGAACAATTTTAATACATCTTTTCAGTAACTGAACAAGGAAAGAATGTGAGGTGAACAGCAGGATTTTAACAATTCAGTGGACCAGTATAAAATGCTGTATGAATTCACTGGTAACGCTCTTCTTTGGGCTAAGGTAGCTGAAAACACTCTGGGGGCCCTCATTTTAGGAGATTCAGACTCCCTGACTGTCCACAAAGACAGCATATTTGCAGAGTTTATACCATGTACTTAGCACTCTGCATAGTATGAATTTAGTTCCCAGAATCTCCTTGCTATAATTTTCTCATCATCCTAATGAGATAAATAAGGTAGGTTAAATTACTTGCTGATATCAGTATGGCCTATAGGTATAAATTAGTGGGACAGTGAATGGACCTCAGCATATTTGCAGATCACAGACACTGTGATCCCCCATATACGTGCCAGGAGCAGGTGGACCATAGCTACCGGAAACACACATGCAGTCTTTAAGAGTGGATGATTCAGCCAGGTGGGGCAGAGATGGGCATAAATAAGCTCCTGCAGAATGTGGGAGCCTTGGGGCTTTATCTGTGGGCTGCCAGCCTCCATTCCTTGTTCCACTTGTCAGAATGTGCCTCAGCCGCCCATGTTTTCACACTGCCTCTCCCCTCTGACAGTTCCTGGCTCTGGGTAAGTATTCAGCCTGTTGTCGCCACAGTCCTTACTATAGTCTTTCCCTCTTGAGTCCTTCTTATCCAGAGAATTCACCCCCCAGGAAGCCCTGGTGCCTGGCCGTTACTGGCATGCAGGGCCACTGATTCTACATGAAGTCCAAACACGCCCACCCTCAAGGTCACCCCAACCACACAGGGTCAAGAGGATGACCCAACCCAAGACGGCTGATGCCAAAGGCTCAGTGAGGTTGGAGTGGTGGCCAAGCTGTGAGAGGGATTTTTACACCGAACCTGGGAATCTCCGGGAACTTTGTTCTAACGTCTACTACATAACATTGTAGCATGTCACGTTTTTATTTCCGTGGTATCTTGCACCAGATGGTGATCCTGAAGCTCGGGGGTGCAGTGGGCCAAGGGTCAGCAGAAGATAAAATGTCCAGGCAACAGAAAAAGGGTCATTAGAATCTTGACTCGGCTTGTTACCAGCCACACACTCCAGAGTTAGTTCAATTGTCTGTACCTCTGTTTGTTTATGTGAGAAATGGGTACATTGCATGTACTCTGCAGTGTTGTGAGGATCATATATAGTTGGGCAAGGAGCTTGAATCATGTATTTTATTTATATATTTATATTTATATATGTATATGTACATATATATACTTATATATGTGTGTGTGTGTGTATATATTTCTTTTTTAAATAGGGAGGGAGGGGGAAGAGAGAGAGAAACATCGATGAGAGCCCGGCCGGTGTGGCTCAGTGGTTGAGTGTTGACCCATGCATCAAGGGGTCACCAGTTAAATTCCTGGTCAGGGCACATGCCCAGGTTGTGGGCCTGATCCCAGTGGGGGGCATGCAGAAGGTAGCCAATCGATGTTCTCTCTCATCGATGTTTCTATCTCTCTTTCCGTTTTCCTCCCTCTCACTAAAACCAATAAAGAAAAAAAATTTTTTTTAAGAATGATCTCATTCTTTTTTTTTTTTTTAAATCTTCACCTGAGGACATTTTTCCATTTTTTGTTCAGATAGAGTGGGAGGGAGAGAGAGGAAGAGAGAGAGAGAGAAACATTGATGTGAAAGGGATACATCGAGTGGCTGCCACCCGCATGACCAACCAGGGCCGGGGACAAACTACAACCAAGGTACACGCCCTTAGCGTGAACTGAACCTGAGTCTGGACCGCAGGCCGATGCTCTAACCACTAAGCAAACTGGCCAGGGCAATAATCTCATTCTTAAAAAAAAGACATTGATGAGAGAGAAACATAAATTGGCTGCTTCCTGCACACCCCAGCAACCTGGGCATGTGCCCTGACTGGGAATCGAACCGGTGACCTCTTGGTGCATGGGATGATGCTCAGTCCACTGAGCCACACCCGCTGGGCTCACGTGGTATTTTTAACATGGCAGTTATAAAAGTGGGACTTAGTGTATTAGTGCACCTGATCAGAGTTTACACAAGAATGAACTGTCCACTAAGTTTTTCTCGATGGGAATCTTTGGAACTTGAATTAAGGTAAAATCATTATTTTATGATTACGTGCATAGAAAGGGGGCTCATTACCTTTATGGTCATAATTTCAGAAAGACAGTAATTTTTTTCAGCAGAAGTCACTGAAGTCAAACTAAAAATGCAACTCCTGAAAATATCTTTCACAACAAAAATGTTATTTGTGTTGGATGCCTACATAAGTAAAATAAGAAATAAGGTGATGTTTAAAAATATGAAATTTCTTCCCTGGCCAGTTTGGCTCAGCAGTTAGAGCGTTGGCCTGCAGTCCAGAGAGACCCGAGTTCGGTTCCTGCTAAGGGTGTGTACCTCGGTTGCAGTTTGTCCCCAGCCCTGGTTGGTCATGCAGGTGGCAGCCACTTGATGTGTCCCTTTCATGTCGATGTTTCTTTCTCTCTTCCTCTCCCTCCCACACTACCTGAACAAGAAATGGAAAAATGTCCTCGGGTGAGGATAAAAAAATAAATGAAATTTCTTGCCCCTCAGCTCATTCAGAAGTCAGCCCTGGCTGGTGGCTCAGTTGGTTGGAGTGTTGCCCTGTGCACCAAAAGGTCACCAGTTTGATTTGAGGGCACAGCACATACCCAAGTTGAAGGTTCTATTTGTGAACAGGACACATACCTGGGTTGCTGGGGTATGTACGGGAGGCAACCAATCGATGTTTCTCCTTGTCTTTCTCTCGCATGAGGGTTAAAGAAAGAGGTATTAACAGGGATGCTGCCGCCCCAGAACAAAGGACCCCTTGACACAGCTTTGCTGTGTGTGGTGGAGGCTGTGTGCAGGCCTCTCCTCCACGAGGACTCGTGCTGAACCCCAAGCTCGGTACAGAAGGTTGGATTCTACCCACATGAAAAATGCCCGGGTGAAGCATGTCTGATTGCCTAAGCTGAGCGTGTCTGCAGTTGGTGGACGTACAGGCTTACAAAGATGTCAAAGCCCTACCGGGTACCCCTCTCCCCTCTAAGATGTGCATACCACTTGGCCTCACACATCACTGGAAGCATTTACTGAATGTCAGTGACGTAAAGGGAAAACGTTTCCCGTTCATAATCCATTTCCATCTGCTCCTCTGTTTTGTACTTTTTGTAAATATCTTTGGGGACGGGGGGAGGTCAGTGCGAGGGGATGGTCTCTGTTTCCACAACAGATGCTAAACTGCAACCTCAGCATGGAATAGAGTTGGGTTGTGGGTGGGAAAAGATATTTGGAAAATGGCCTGGCTCTAGTACAAAAAAAGTAAATAATTATATGTCAGAATTTTTGCCATGAAAATACATAGCGTCTCCCATTTCCCAGTGCTGAATGCACAGTCGATCACCTTGAGCAATTAGCAGTGCAGACAACATTCTCCGATGTCAATACAAGAAAGTAAGCAACGACCACATGAAAATTCTTCTACATACCTCTCAAAAAAAAAAAAAAAAAGAATGAATTCAGAATCACTTAGGATAGAATAATTAAAAATTATGCATGTCGTGATCTTTCTATAGGATAGTGTTGATCTGTACTCAGAGTAAAACTAATTTTAAATACTAATATAATAGACATAGTCCAGAAAGACAAGTTCCGTAATAAAATAGGCATCCAAACCTGTAAATCTTAAAGAAACAACGTACATGCAAGCACACACACAGAATCAGAAGTAATTAAGGAAGAGTAAAGCAAAAACAAAAACAAAAAACCCCCACAAAACTAGTGGATTAGAAAATGGGAATATAGAAGCTTCATGTTGGAAATAAATCAATAACCAAATAAACTATTAACTTGATCAAAAATCAAAGG